TTTTTTTTTTTTTTTTTTTTTTTTTTTTTTTTTTTTTTTTTTTTTTTTTTTTTTCCAAAGCTAAGAGAGTGTAACGTGGAAACTGTTTTTTTCCGACTTGAGCGTTTTTCTTGGTACTATGTGATGTATAGTGTACACATCCAGGCTGTCACCGCTTTATCGGTTCTCTTCTTGGGTGATCAATTTCAATGAAATTCCAACAGCTCGTTTGCACGATTTCGGAGGCGAGCTACTAACCATTAAAATATCTCTTACTCCACCGAGAGACTGATGGATCACACCGAAATGCAAACGCACACTTATTATTGTTTCCTTTCGTTGTTGGTACAACTTGACAGATCGATATGTCAATCATATGTCCATCGTGAGTATTTAACAACAAGAGTAGACTGATGATTACAACTTTTTTTAAATTTATTTTTTTGTTTTTTTTATCATGTTGTCCACTCTTATTTTATTTATACTTCATTAGATACCTCATCACCGTAGTAAAAAAAAAAAAAAAGAAAAAAAACAGACGCCAAGCTCCCAGAGCTACAATGACACAACAGTCAAACAAAAAAAAAAAAAAACATACATTGTTCTCCAGAGGTCGTTTGTGCGAATCAGCGTAACTCCCGGGTCTTTTCACGGCTGATTAGACCGTGTAACGTTATTTTACGGCAAGCAGCTCTGTGTGACACGGGACTCGGAAAAGATAAAAAAAAAAAAAAAAGAAAAAGAAACAAAAAAAGGGGAAGAAAGAGGGCGAGCGCCGAGTAGACGGAAAACCAGCTTCGGTCCATACACGGTATTTCCTCGTTTCAGCAAAGCCAAGCGTTGCTCGCAAGCTCTTCCCACACCGCCGTACACTTTTCTTTTTTTTCCTTTGTCAAAGCTCGCGCGTTCCTGTTTCCGAGGCCAAAGTTACTCTTTGTGAATCTTGTTCGTCCGTCTGTTTGTTAACAGCAAGTCTCTGCATAATTTTCTGTTAACAAATGACTCGGCATGACTCAAAGATTTCGCCACGGCAAAGAGACGTTTCGTTGTTCTCCAGCATCAGCCGGGGGTACGATGATCCACAAGAGAATTTATTCCTGCGAGTAAAGTAGCAAATGTTGTCGATCCATAACGCAGGTCTCATGTCAACTCCCATACCTTTGGGCTCTTCTTTCATTGGCGACTAAATTTTCACTTACGCGCCTCCCAAGTGCTTATTTCACTTTGTTTCACTTTGTCCGTTTTCTCTTCCGAACAAGAGTTTAATATATTACCCTTCGTACTTTATGTACATGGGCAAGAAAGTTCAATCAGGGCGTTCAAACAATTTTTTTTTTTTTTTCTCTTGCGTCTGGAGGAAAGGGTATAGTAGGCGTTTGGGCCAAGTTTTGTATTGGTAAGAATGTGAGGCGATGATACGTACAGGCAGCTTCTTGGATCAAGTTTACGGGCGAGGAGGAATATATTTTGCTAAATTTTGTCATCAGCTTTTTTTTTTNGGTCGTCCCGAGCTTTGTTGAACAATGTCCGGTGGAAGGCCACGCGAAGCCTCTCCCTTTTCCATTGTCTCGCTTCCTTTCATCTTCGACGGCGGTTATTACACCCGTACTCGTACATTATATCCTCCCGTTGCATCGGGTTTTAATACAAATTTTTAATCTTTGGAAACGTCAAAGCGATGCCTTGTGCTGGATCGAAATTTATACGCAAGCTTTGGAATTTTTATTAACCTTTTTTATGCGAAAAAGTGAATCCTCAATTTTGCGAAATTTATGATAAAAATATTTCAAGTTTAAAGTCAAAGGGTCTGGCAGCTATCGGAAAAGGAGCATTGGCGGCTACACTTTGATCTATTAATTTGGAAAACCGTATCACCAACGAAAATAAAATTCTAAAAGGTTTACGCTGGCTCGTGAGCAAATGTGAGTAAAACATGAGCAAATAAACTTTGCTCGAGGAGAACATTGCTCGCGAAAAAACTCAAGTTTCTTGCTGAAGCAATTTTGAAATATTTTTCAAGAACGTGTCGAGAATCGAAGGATAATTTTACTCATCAATTAAAAAAAAATGATTGAAAAGGGAAATGAGCAGCGTATTGAAAATAAACTTTCCGACAAAGAGAATGAAGAAGAGAGATTCAAGGGCCCCTGGTAAAAAAAACTATTATTGCTAATCTACCTGCCGAATCGAGCAAGAGATGCTTTCCTACATCTTCCTGTCTTTCGAGCATCGGTTTGACACAGTTGATTCGAGAAAATTCTTTCCTCTGAAAAACGCACGGAATGTACTATGGCATTACATCAATAGCTCTCGTGAGAACAGAAAGCACTCCGGATTGACATCGGGGTGTCCAAAATTGAAAATAAACACACGCGCAAGAGATAACGGGATCCACAGAGCTATTTCATCCTCGATGCTTCGCATGCCATCGGACGAGCGAGAAGAGAGAGAGAGAGAGAGGGTAGAACTCCATCAAACGCGTCTCACAAGAAACGACACCTCCAACCCCCCCCCCCCCCAGGGAAGGCGAGCTCCTGTTTGTCGCCACTTTGTTCGCTTTGAGGTGTCTTAACTCGGCTGCCTGTTGCGGCGCGCCTGCACACAAGTGAAAACCTCGTCTCTTTTTTTGAAAAAGTCCGTCGCGCNTAGGTCCATAAAAACAAATCAAATAGTTTTATTGATTTTTCGCATTAATGCTTCCATTGGCCTAAGAGTTTATTCGTTCGACTAGTCACTCATTGGCAAGTAAATTCAACAGTCGATTCAATTATTGGCTGAAAGTTGACTTTTTATCATAATTATTCTCGCACTCGTGACTGTTTTTCTTTCTTGACCTCAACTCGATTCATAACCACTTAGTCCTATGTATAAGAGCAAAAAAAAAAAAAAAAAAAAAAACAGTCCTGATGCGTGTCCCTTGCTGCAGTCGCATTCAAAACCAGACGTAACTTTCTTCGTCAACGACGAATCTCAAGTGTCTAGTCACGATAGGCACCAAGGTTTACGATGTTGGACGATAAGGAGGTTGAGATGGCAGCAGTGGCCAGTTCGCGCCTACCCTAAAAGTTAAGGTGGACGGGCTTCGAGTGCCGGCGTCGCGGAGGTAGTTAGTTTTTGTTATGGTTTTTGCTGTTTGTTTATTTTTCTTTTCGTACTCCTGCTGCCCAGGAGTTTTTTTCTTTATTTTATTTTGTTTTTTTTGCTTTTTTGGATATCTTGGACATGTAATTTTTTTTTTTTTTTTTGGTCGGACCATCCGGTAAGCCTTTTTTTTTAACCGTCTTCGACTGCACCTCCTCTCAAGTTCGGAAGCAGCTCCTTCGGTGCAATGTATGGCAGTTCTATACTCCAAATTATTTCTGCCGATTTTCTCTGGCCTCGTTGCTCCCAACAGCAATGGCCAGCGAGTTTCCATTGTACCTTCCTGCCTTGCCGCCAAACCATCCCATCGGTGCGATGTCGATTCCGGGGCTGGAGTCCTCTTTTCTTTATTTATTTTCTTCTTTAATGTGTCAGTACGTGTCACAGCAGTGAGTCCGATGTTGTTGTTTACTTCGGCGGGGGAGAGCGTAGACGTGCCTTTTGCGGAGCTGTCGTTGGGAAGCCTCGGACCACACGTGCTTTCGTGCGAAAGAGATTCCTTATATACTCAAACCAAGGATTTTTCGCCGTTTGCGGGATTGTTTTATTTTTATTTCCGTATCAAAGTCAATAGAGCCAACATCGATTAGCCGCCTAGCGATTTTCATCCCAATCATCGGTCTTTTCCTTTCGTTTCCTTTTGATTTTTTTTTTCCTTTTCTTCTTTATCGTTTTAGTCACCCAAAACACCGTTGTAGACACCCAATACGACATTGAGGTAAGAAGCTGTTTATTTCGTACGTTAAAAATCATGAAAAGTGATAGATTAAAGTTTTTAATTTAATTGTGATTTTTTTTTTTTTTCAGCACAACAAACTGTGTGTTAAATTAGTATCTGGAGAAAGACCCCGAGGATAAAGAGCGGCAGCACCGGCGACACCACCTCAAGGAAGACGACAAAGGGCGCGACTATGCTCGCCACGTAGCCCATTATGTGGATGAGCGCGACTCCCTGCGCCCTGACCACCGTCGGCAGGAGCTCGGCCGCGTACTGCAGCCCGATGTTGTACGATATGTTCACGCAAAACCGGCCCATTATCGCGAGCGTCGCCGCGTATATGTCTGTCGGGAAATTTAATACACGTTTTGGTTGATCAGGGCAAACATAAATATATGTAACAATCGAGGGTCTCACTGTTGGTGACGAGGCTCGCCCAGATGCTGAAGATCCCGGAGATGGCCATGGAGCCGCAAGCGAGCCAACGCCTGCCCCACCTGTCCAACACGAGGGTGAGAAAAGTGTCGGCCGGCAGCTCGGTCGCCGAGGCTATGGTAAAGGTCACGAACACGTCGAGCCTCAGGTTGTCGACGTTACGCACATGGCCGTCAAACACCAACGAGATGGCCATCCTGGTGTTTATACACAAGCATGTATATATACATACATGTATTTTTATTTGCCAATCATATATATATATAAAGGGTGTGCGTTTAATTTTACCAGATGACGATGAGGAGGACCGTGATGTTTCGCAGCCTCGGGCTCCGGAAGAGGTCCAGGACCGAGTACGACTTGTCGGCCTCCTCGTCCTTGCGGGCCCTCGCGCACGTGTCCTTGAAGTCCCTGTAAACGTGGTCGGGTACCTTGGTGCCGTTGATCCTCTCGAATTTGCCGAGTATCCTCAGGGCCTCGTCGACCCGGCCTTGGCTGACGAGCCACCTCGCGCTCTCCGGCACCAGCCAGGGAGCAGCCACCGCGAGTACGAGTGGCACCGAGGTCGCGACGCACGTCAGTCGCCAGTCGGCCAGGAAGTAGGCGATCCACGGCAGGGCGCACGCGGCGAAGGTGAAGAACAACGCTATCGACATGTTGGCCACGAAGGTGCGCCACTTTGGCCCCACGTACTCCAGCACTGTATGGGGTCGGACAAATCGAATATACACACGGGTCAATTAGGCACTTTTTTTTTTTTTTTTTT